CCCTCTTCTCTCTCTCTCTGTCAAATCGAAAACAGAGATAGGTTGTTTCTTTGATACCACATTTGGATTCAATCTCTTGAAAATGTGTTTTCTGAACACTTTTCACATTTTCATTCTCGTCTTTTCTTTCACCATCCATTATTTTCTCATCGTCAAATCTCAAGAACCGCCTCTCTTTACACCATCTCCTCCACCTCCACCGCCTCCACCACCACCACCGCCTACACTTGTCAATGTGACAGGCATTCATGCACCTTCTCCAGTCTCGGCGGTTATTTTGCCTCTGTCTCCGCCTCCACCGCGGCAGAGGTCAAAGTCAGAACCTTTTCCACCGCCTCCTGAGCCACGGAGGTTTGGTGGGTCTCCGGAGAAACCTAAGACAGGTGGATTAAACAAAGGGGAGACGGTGGGAATAGTCTTTGCTGGTTTAATAGTAATGTTGCAGATGTTGGTTGTTGTTTTCTTGCTTCTCAAGAGAAGGCAACTTCTCAGGCACAAAGAAACACAATGACAGATGCTTAGTTAACACACAACATAAACCTCTTTTGTTTTCGTTTTTCTAAGTGATTGTAACAAAAATTATAGAGATTGTTTTAGGTGGAAAGAAATTGCAACACAATGTGCAGAATTCAAGATGAAAACTGATTTGGCTTGGTGGATCATAAAGGCTTATAGCTTCTGCAATCTTTGGATCTGATGTGTTCTTAGGTATAATTTTATGAAATGATGATGATGCTGAGATGATTCATAATACAACATAAGTAGAGGCAATACGAATCCTGACCATCAAAGCCACTTCCTTTTCTCTGTTTCTCAAGGTTCAGGAAAAAAAAAGAATATAAGAGACTTTGAACTTAGAATATAATAACCAGACATGACCTTCTTGGTCAGTGTTCTAGTCTGGCTCTAGATTCTAATGTAAATATACAACACACACAAGCATGAAACTATATAGATATCCTCCCAACAATGACCAGCGTCTGTACTTACAGTGTATCAAAAGAAGAACAATGTAAGACCATCCTTAATCTCAGTCTCTTAATTGGGTTTTAACTAAAAAGAGGTAAGAACCATCTCTTAAAAAAAATATATAAAAGCCGTCTCTTAGTCGAGAAATATAAAAAAAAAATGTCAAATCATGAATTAAAAACCCGGCTAAGAAACCGGGCTTAATTCTGCCCTAAAGTCTCTTTGAGGTTTTTATCTTTTATTGATTCATATACAGTAAAACCTCTATAAATTAATAATGTTGGTACTTTGAAATTTTATTAATTTATAGAGATATTAATTTATCAAAACTTTCCGTATTCAGTTTTTTTTTTTGATTTTTTCCATTTTTACTTATAAAGTCAAAAAATATTTGATTTTCGCATAGATACATTATCTAAATTTTAGAAATTTGATTTTTATATATTTTTATCATCTTATTTGGTGTATATTCTTATGTTTCATAGAATTGTTATCTGGTTTTCGATATAATTTAGCTAAATATTATCAAAATATATTAGTATTTTTACTGTAAATATAAAATCAACAATATAATGTTAGATTGTACTTATATAAAACTATATATACATAGATTATTAATTTATGATTTTAATGAGACTATATATTTACATGTCATTTTAAAAAATATTATTATCTTATTATTTTATTAATTTGTGTCATATTTTACGCCGGCCCAAGTTGGGACCGGTGAAATTTATTATTTTATAGAGATTATTAATTTATCGAATATTAATTTATAGAGTTTCTACTGTAACTCAAAATATTATCCTGATAAAACAAAATAAACAATGGGATTTATAACTGATCCCTCATGATCAAGTAGAACCCTCCATATTTATTGGTGAGATTGGTACACAAAAATCAGATTGGTAGTGTTAAAACAAGAGAAATGCGAGATCAGAGACTCTTAGGAGGTTTGATGTGCTTGTTGTCATTGTGTTGGTTCTTTCTCTCTCTTAGAGAAACATAGATTCAGGGTTCCCAATGTAGCCTTTGAATGCTTTCAACCATTAAGCTCCAATGGCACCTGCAGATATCATAATATTATACTTAGTTTAACAGTTTCGTGATGACAATGATTGTATGATGATTTAAAACCGAATTACCGTCCACTACGCGATGGTCACAGCTCAGTGTTACAGGCATGTAAGAAGCAAAGATGAATTCATCTGGACCGTTACCAGGAACAACTTTCTTTTCAGCTGTTTTTAATTAACATTCAGACACATAACACGATTGAGTTATTCGATGTTTAAGAAGACAGTAACATGTGGATTCTATTATGTAATGAGAGAGAGCTTACCAGATCCAACAGCTAGAATGGCGGCTTGAGGGGGATTTACCACTGCACAGAACTGCTTGATTCCAAAAGGTCCTCCCAAGTTCGACACTGTAAATGTTCCTCCCTGAGAACAGAAACACATTATTATTATTTTTTTTTGGGTCAAAAAAGTATTAGCTTACTTTTCCCAAATATATATATGATCAGTGATTAAGTGAGTGGATTCTCTCACCTCATAGTCTTCTGGCTTTAAAGCTGTTTTCTTTTGCTTTTTGAGTCAATAAACGAACTTCTTTTCCAATTCTGGACAGAGCTTTCTTGTCTGCGTCCTGGAATCAAGCAATTGATATAATTAAGCAATCTGAAAATTTTGCAGCAGTGAAATTTATTATTGAGAGCTGTTTTGCACACACCTTCACCACAGGAACATAGAGCCCATTTTCTGTCTGCACTGCACTGCAATGTTGATGTTTATGTTTTAAAACCTACAGAGAGAATGGTTAAGATGTCTCCTAAGCCAGAAATATTCAAAAGCTTGTCTTCGATGTACTTACTGGCGGATGTAATCATCAGTCCATGAACTATTGCATTGAGGAACTTTTTTGAGAGCTAACGCAGCAGCCTAAAAACAGATGCAGATGGTAAGTTATTTCAGAAGATCTGTTAGCTTGTTTGCAAGTATAAGCACGTAAGATGTACCTTAACAACAAGATCATTGATGGATATCCGTTTCCCACCAGAAGCTTCCTGGAATGAATTGAGTTGACTCCTTAGTCTGCATATACAAAAAAAAACGCTTTGTCAAGCTTACTTATTGACAACCACTACAAATGCATCATCAGAAACTTAATATACCCCATAAGTTTGTGGACACATGCATCAACGTTTAAGTAATAGTGAGGGATAGTTTGCTTGGAGAATGACAAACGTGAGGCTGTGACCTGTCAAAATGATACAGTCAAAGAGATTCCAGAATCCTTGATCCTCTTGAAACTTGGTAAAAAACCGTGCAAGGATTATAAAAAGCTTTACCTTTCGTATCTGGGAATGAGGGATGTCAACATAGTCCAAAGCTGGAACCTTAGAATCAGTGACCTTAGATTGCTTTGCAGTAGCTTCTTTACCACCTGAAGCTGCAGCCAATAGAATATGAATTTGGGCATAAGGATTGGTGAAATACTGTAACAGAGGCAAGAAACATTTGAAAGAAAAAGCAAGGGAAAGGAAGAGACAAGGAGTTACTAATACCTAAGTAATCCTCGATATCTGCCTTCAGTATCCGTCCTTCAGGACATGTGCCTTTGATGCTTGAAAGAGGCACCTGATGTATTTACAAAGGAAATGAGAAGGTAAATTAGCATGAAAATTAAGAGCAAAATAATATCCTAGAATATTGTGAATACTAACATTATTGTCTTCAGCCAACTTTCTTGCAAGAGGGCTAACAAAAACACGATCTCCGGTGGGAGGTGGGCTAGGCTTGGAAGTCTTTGGTTCAGGAAGCTCAACGTGTTTATGAAAAATGTAGATTTCAGATTTTGGTCTTGCTGTTGTTAATGGACCAAAGAAGAAGAACCATAAACTTTCAGGAACAGTTGGATACGTTGCACCAGAGTATCTTCTTGACGGTAAACCCTGAAAATGAAAATCTGCGCTAATCTTATGATAAGAGTCAAAGTCTGACCAAGTGGAGTTCTCTGACGTGGCAAATTAAGAGGTTGATCAAAGAAGAAACTTATGCTTTGAATGTTGTAAGTGAGTGACGCCATGACTCATGAGTCCTTGCACCTGATCGACATGAGATCAGTGATGAAGACTATACTCGCCATGAGAGTGTAATCGGATTCAAACCTCAAAGCTATTCGTTTATCATCTTTGTAATCACGTTTCTATTCAATGAATAAGTTAGGGATTTCTAAACTCTATCACATTACCCTAACTTTGTGTATATGAATAGGCCAATTGACAGAAAAGAGCGATGTGTATGCTTTTGGAGTAGTGTTATTAGAGCTTTTACTTGGGAAAAAACCTGTTGAGAAGCTAGGTTCTGGTGAATGTGAATCCATCATCACTTGGGTACATATCTATATAGTCTCTCTCATACTATTCCTTCCTTGTAAACTCTCTTTAAGACTTGGAATCTTGAATTGTCTTTTCAGGCAATGCCTTATCTCACTGATAGAACCAAGTTACCAAACGTTGTAGATCCCGCGATTAAAGATACGATGGAGACTTGAAACATCTTTACCAGGTTAGTTTTCACAAATTCTAGAGAGGTGGTTGGTTTTGAGATAGACTAATGGGTTGTGATGCAAATGTGCAGGTAGCAGCTGTGGCGGTTTTGTGCGTGCAGCCAGAACCGAGTTATAGATCGTTGATTACAGACGTCTTGCATTCTCTTCTTATACCTTTGGTTCCTATATGGAACTTGGTGGAACCTTGAAAACCATCAGAAGATCTGCTTCCATGGATCACTGCTAAAAAACACCATTAAACCGTTTTTAAAAATCGGTTTAAGATTAACCCGATAGGTGGTTTTTATGTGTATATATTGTGTTGGGAAGTTCTTAACCGGAACATTGCAGTAGAAGAGTTTTTCTTTCATCTTTTGTATCCTTTCAACAAATTGTTTTTTTCACTGTTGAACTCAGTTATGTAAATGAGATCGACTTCTTTTCCAGGATTATTTACATCATTATTTTCAGTTTTGCTCCGTATTGTAATCTTTACAGATTCTAATTTTTTTATAGATAACACTGAGCAATGAACAAAGTTTGAAGTCAAACAAATGTGTAGGACTAAAAAACATAAAAATGAGATGTCGGTAGACACCATCATAACAACAGAAGAAAAAAGAAGCAGGTTTTACCAACACCCTTACTCATTTAGCCTCCAAAACTAGAAGGTGAAATAGCCATGATGGAGCATTCCGAGCGATGTACGACTGGTGGCGCCTATCTCGAATGACGCTGAAAGCAATGGCCGTTGCCGCTTCATTACGCTCCGGAAGAGTATGATCGAGACTCCATGAATCTATACGTGATAAAAGCCAGAGAATGCTGTGGCGGATGTGGCTGAGGCTAGGGTGTGCAGTTGGATTTGTCATAGCGTCATGTAAACACTCCGAAGAAGTCTCAAAACTAATGTTCGAGAAGTGTAGATTGTGCAAACATTCCACTGCCCAAAAAAGAGCCCACAGGTCTGCCTCGATTTTCGTGCGCATGTAGGAATAAGACCGACGGCTATGCATAAGCGTGCCTCCGTTTTCGTCGCGAAGAATCCATGATGCACCACTCGGCTGATCTGAGTCAATCCATGAGGATCCCACATTACATTTTAGGGATCCATTAGGGGGGTTCCTCCATCGAACCTTATCTATGACCATATCATCCACTTGGTCTGACAAGCCCGTGAATGTATCATACCATGTTAGTTCTTCTTCATATGCCCTCCTAGCAATAAAAGAAGAATCTAAAACCTTATTCTTAAAAACAAAAGAGTTCCGAGCTTTCCATATTTCCCATAGTAACCATGGGAAAACTTTTTGTGTATAGATATCCAAAGAGGCGCTCCTTGCAATTTTGAGTAAATGGACAAAATTTAAGAATGTAGAATTCCTAGAAAAACCTCCTAAAGGAACCGGAACATTAGCTTGATTCCATATGTCACGTGCTTTAACACATGTGAATAAAACATGACAAATAGTCTCGTCTTCATTTCCGCAAACTGGACAAGTTGGATATATCGGAATACCCCGAGTAGTCAGACGTTGCTTAACCGCTAACGCACCTGATAGCGCCCGCCACATAAAATACTTTATTTTTGGTGGAGCTTTTGTTTTCCATAGATCCCGCCATAATTTCTTTTCAATAGGCGTGACCGATTGCCCTTGAGGATGATCGTAATCCACCAAAGCCTCTAACAATTTATATCCACTTCGCGTCGTATATGTACCATTTGGTGTAAAACCCCATCTGATAGAGTCGTCACCTACCAATGATGGTTTCAAAAGTAGTATCCTTTCCGTATCCTGAGGCGTAAAAGTCTGCAGTAGCAGATTGATGTTCCATTGATTAGACCCTGGTCTTAGCAAATCTGAAACTCTAAGAGCTAAATTCACAGAGCTGTTTTCACGATACATTGGTGGCCTTGGAATAATGTCAATAATCCAGTTCTCCGCCCAAACATTGGAGTCAGTTCCAGTACCAATATGTCTATATAGACCTTTTTAAAGTAATTCTCTTCCATGCATGATGCTCCTCCAAGCATAAGATGGACGTGTCCCCATTCCGCAATTTAGAAAATCGCCATTTTTAAAATATTTACCTTTAAGGATTCGAGAGACCAGGGAATCTGGATTATTCCATATTCGTCAAGCCTGTTTCCCAAGCAAAGCTGGTTGAAACGACCAATATCCTGAAACCCAAGACCCCCTTGTTCCTTAGGTTTACAAAGCTTTTCCCAAGAAACCCAAGGTATTTTCCTTTCTTTATTCCCGCTACTCCACCAAAACTCTATAATCGCACTCGTAATTCGTTCACACAGACCTTTTAGAATACCATCCCTGTAGTCGGCCTTCTAATTTATCCTTGATAAAATTCAGAAGGGCTTTTTTTGAACCTTGAAAGCATTCTGGGAGACCAAGATAGGAACCTTCACCACCTTCTTTTTCTATACCCAAGACCTCTTTGATTATTTGTTTATGATCATTATCTATTTTTTTCCCAAAAATAATGAAAGATTTCAAAGGGTTAATCATTTGCCCAGATGCGTCCCCATAACATTTTAGACCCTTCATAATTTCATTACTATCACTCACTGAAGCTTCACATAGCAATAGGCTGTCATCCGCGAATAACAAATGGTGGACAGAAGGACTGCCCGTAGCAAGTTTTATACCATGTAAATTCCTTTGTGCTTCCGATCTATTTAAAACATGTACTAAAGCTTCGGCACATAAAATGAATAAAAAGGGAGATAAAGGATCCCCCTGCCGTATACCTCTTTCTGGTTTAATAAACCCATGTGAACGTCCATTGAGTAAAACCGAGAAAGTTACAGTAGTAATACATGACATTAATCGGCGACCCATTTCCGGTGGAATCCCATTTTTCTAATAAAACTTCTAGGAAATTCCATTCCACCCGATCATAAGCCTTTGACATGTCAGTTTTGATGGCCATACATTCTTTGCCAATTTTTTCATTTGTACGAAGCGCATGTACCAGCTCGTGTGCTATAATGACATTGTCCGTTATTAACATGCCCCCTATAAAAGCTCCTTGAGTTTCTGAAATTATATGTGGCAAAACCGTCTTCATGCGCTCACATAAAATACGAGAAATAATTTTATATTGTACACTGCACAAACTTATTGGACGCATATCCTTGGTATTAGAGAGTAAAATATTGTCTTTGGTTAGATGAGATACTGACCAATTTATTTTTAAACAAAACTAAAACTTGGTATTAGATAAATTGATGATACATATATAATGGTAGCAAACAGTAAATAATTGAGTAATAAATGTCTAAAAAGAAGATGAATGAAGGTTTAGGTGGAAGGTAAGAGATAGGGGGAGGATAGATAAGGAGGCCTGTAATCTTTCACCCCCAAAAGACTAGTAGGTAACTGAATGAAGCCTTGCCATAGAAGATCAACTTTCTCAACTACATTCTGAACTTGGGATCTAGCGAGAGATTAGAGGAAGATACAAAAAGAATGGCATCAGATAAGCATCATACTACGAAAATGCTTTTCTGCTGCACTGCACGGAAAATGGAATGGAGAAAGAGATACCTTCTTCGAATGATTGAGGATACGTGAAACATAAGTCATTACTGGAACTGCTTTAAGCCGATCCGATTCGAATCTCACTTCTCTTTCTCTCTGTGTGTGCGCTACGGAAGGAAGAATAAAACTTTTTTGGTACGTTGACTGTTAGTTAGGGCATCTTTTTATTTTTGTTTCTATCTCTCAGGTAAGATTTCTGATTTACCAATGAGGAAGAATCAGTGATCCGAGTCAGTGACTGGTGTGTAGAGAGCGGTTTTTATTATCGTACGGTGGAGATTAAAAGTTGACGACAACGATTTGCCTTTATCTTATTGGGCTGGATATAGGCCCATTAATAGCTTGTAGCCCCAGTCGAAAATGGTTATATAAAGCAAGCTGGAAACTAGAAGAAGCGGGAAACAGAAAGAAAGAATCATCGCTATCTTCTTCTTCTTCTTCTTCGACGAGTGAGATTCTTCAAGATCAAGGTAAACATGCTTTTCTTGCGAACATGGCGTAGTTTGATTCAAGCGAAATACGGTTCAGTTTATTGATCTTTAATCCTTATTATAGGTTCCAAAACCTTCTACTTTTTCTCAGTACGTCCATGGATGATCATGAAAGTTCTTCTTCATCTTCAGATGATACTACTGCCCCTGGGTTTGTGAATTTTTGGCCTCTTTAACGCAATCTCTGTATTATTATATCTCTGTGCTGCTGAACAGACTCTTCCCTCTCTCTCTCTCTCTGTAGGTATTCTGATGCTGATTTGATCATTATGACTATATCAAAAATCAGTGATGGAAACGGTGTTGATTTTGATGAGATTTTCGCTTATTGCAAGGTTATAAAACTATATCTCTCTCTCTTTTTAATAATCTGTGTTTTCATTGCTTTGAAAGTGAATCGATAAGGTTCTCTTCTTTACGTTTCTTTGTTTTCTTGCATCGCAGTCAAAAGAGTTAACTTGGGTTAAAAGTAATGAATCAAACCCTAGTTTTAGAGTTAATCATGTGATTGTTAAATTTTCAGGAAAACTATGAGATACCGCCAGATTATAAGGAGTTGTTGTACAAGGACCTAACCAAACTTGTTTCTAAAAACAAACTAGAGAAGGTACTAATTATTAGTTTTTTTATTTATATATTTTGCAACTTTCTCACTTCTGATGTTACCATCCAAATACAGGTAGAAAACCGCTACAAGATCGTAGAGGGTACTGTTATACACGCTACAAATCCAACACTAACCTCGAGTTCAGAATATGATGATTCCCCACAAGAGCTGCTATCAAGTCCAGAAGATTCCACCGAGCCACAAGAGCTACCAAGTACTACGCCTTTGTCATCAAAAGATCTTGCAGTGGCTGATTCCAAACCGCTCGACGAAGCCAAAGAGGCGTCCCAAGTTGCAGATACGGCCCAAAAGAAGTTAGAAAAAAGCGACCGATGTAATGTCCACATTATCGTAAATTCATCATCACTCAGGTCTTTTTGATTCGTTTCTTGCAGGTGCTAAAAGGCGAAAACGTTGAACTGCCGGTGAAGACTTTACCTTGTGGTCTGGTTCAGTGTAGATGTATGGAAAGACTGGTTCTTTAATAGGTTTGGCTTTGAGAACAAAAAATAAAGACTACATGTATATGAGATTTCCTTGTCACTTTCTGGTTAGTTTTTGATGTTAAGCGTTTCT